GGGGTGGTGGGTGTTGAATTGTTATTGTGTATTGAAGTGTAGAAGGGTGTGTGAATGTATATATTTAATACAATAGTCAAGTGATTATATGGTTTGGTATGGTTTGGTATGGTTTATCAAGGAAATGAATGAAAGTAAAGAGACAAGACTGATTTATTTATATTCTTTTGTTTTGTCTTGTTCATTTTTTTTCTTCCCAATCAAAACATGGATCCAAACCAAACAGATCTAAACCAAACAGATCCAAACCAAACAGATCTAAACCAAACAGATACAAACCAAACAGATAAAAAACAAACAGATCCAAACCGAACAGACACAAAACAAAGAGATACAAACGAAACAGATCCAAACAAACAGATACAAACCAAACATATTCAAACCAAACAGATCCAAGCCAAACAGATACAAACCAAACAAATCCTAAACAAACAGATCCAAACCAAACAGATCCAAACCAAACAGACACAAACCAAAGAGATACAAACCAAAGAGATACATACCAAAGAGATACAAACCAAAGAGATACAAAGCAAACAGATACAAACCAAACAGATCCAAACCAAACAGATACAAACCAAACAGATACAAACCAAACCGATACAAACCAAACAGATACAAACCAAACAGATACAAACCAATTAGATGCAAACTAAACAGATCCAAACAAACAGATACAAACCAAACAGATACAAACCAACCGGAATTTAAACCAAACAGATCCAAACAAAATAGATCCAAACCCAACAGATTTAAACCAAACAGATCCAACCCAAAAAGATACAAGCCAAACAAATCCAAATAAAATAGATTCAAACCAAACAGGTTTAAACCAAATAGATTTAAACCAAACAGATACAAACCAAACAGATCCAACCCAAACAAACCCTGAACAACCCGTTAAGGACTTCAAGCCAAAGTTTTTAAAAAATTCATTCGAGGCATATTTAAAAAATAAGTAATAAATAACGAAAATTAAAAGTCAAATCACGCACAAAACAAAATTTATTCACAAAAAAAAATCAAAATTCTTGAAAGTTTTAATTACCTTTAATAACACTTGCATTCTTTGGGTTTGCTTCATTCAAGTATATTTTACCAAACATATCGTCTGTCGGATAAGGATGTATAAACGTGTTGAATACATGAGGTCAAATTTCAAAACTCCGGAAGCAGAAAATAGACAGATAGATAGATATAAAGATATGTGAATAGATAGATAGATAGATATACAGATAAATAAATAGTTATATAGATAGATAGATAGATAGATACCAGGTTTCTGATATTAGGTTTCTGATACCAGGTTTTTGATACCAGGTTTCTGATACTAGGGTTCTGATATCAGGTTTCTGATACCAGGTTTCTGATACTTGGTCTCTAATACCAGGTTTCTGATACCAGGGTTTTAATATTGGGTTTCTGATACCAGGTTTCTGATACCAGTTTTCTGATATTAGGTTTCTGATACCAGGTTTCTGATACCAGGTTTCTGATACTAGGTTTCTGATACCAGGTTTCTGATACTAGGGTTCTAATATTGGGTTTCCGATACCAGGTTTCTGATACTAGGTTTCTAATATTGGGTTTCTGATACCAAGTTTCTGATATTCAGGTTTCTGATACCAGGTTTCTGATACCAGGTTTCTGATTTCAGGTTTCTGATTCAATTTATGAACATCCTGACAATAAATCAACACTTTTCTAAAAAAGAAATTCTGAATCCGAAACCCAGTATTTGTATGTTCTCTTAAGTTTCAGACTCCTGAAATATTAACTTATTTTGTTTCTCTACCAAATTATTAGTATTCGAAGCGATAAGAATATTACGTAGGGTTGGGATAAGGCATAGAGTATATTTGAAACAGAACTAGCTTTCTGAACTTTTCTGTTCCAATTTATATTCAAATGTTAAATTTCATAGTTTAACTTTGTTATAATTCACTAAACCTTGTATGTTTTCAAAGATTGCTCCTTTTTACGATAAAAAGTTCAACATTTCTCTTACGCAACCAGAGCTGGGAACTTTTGAATAGTGGATATCGGGATTTATGATTGATCCACTCTTTTTCTCAATCTCCAGTTTAAATTATGCTTGTTCTCCTTGTGTTATTAATCTCCAGATTAATTAGCCGATTTGGATTAAGGATACCTCATTCTAAAGTTTTCAGCTCTGAGCTAGCTGAAAACTTTAGAATGGAATATCCGTAATCCCGATAGCTTAATCTGTTTATCCAATGTACACACTTTTGATTTTCTTTTTAATCCTCCTTTTTGGATATGCCTACTGTATAACAGTTGCGTTTGACATCAATTAAAAATACGATGCTATATCAATTGGACTAATATCCGGTTGAACTAAAGTCAACTGTCAACAAGCCGGCTTTTAGAGCATTTAAACAAATATAAATCTAATCATGGTAATATGAACTTATTTCAAATAAATAGTTTATCTCATTTGAGGATAATAGTCATTTTTAACGTTAATCTTAATAAACATTAATCCAAAAATTACGTTCGTTCAATCGATCATTAGTTCAATTGACATGACACCATCAACACCAAAAATGCGCAAAAATTAAAAACCGGTTTGCTAAAGTTAAAGAGCGCATCTCTCATCTCTAGAAATTAATCTAAAGACTAAACTAGTTTTTAGATCAGCAAAAACAGAGGATCAAGCATTGATCTCGATTTCCACCATTCTAAAGTTTTCAGATCAATTAAGTTTTTTTTCTTCACTTTTTGGGTGTAAAATGAAAACCAGATGAGTTGCAAGGTTGCAAAATTAAAACAATTTTTCTTTATACTAAATTTCATCGATTCTCTTTCTACTCCTGACTTATATTAATGTTTGAAGCAGAGCTAATATATATATGTATACATCGTGAATGGTGTATTGATCGATTATGAAGATTGAAATCATACCATTTACAGTTTACATAACATAAGGAAGACCAAAGTTGATGAATAATGTATTTATTCCTACACTTGTATATTATTTTGTTATATATTGATAAATAGCTTGGGAACCCAATGCTGTTTGGCAATTAAGTTTTCCTTGTTAAAGTTAACCTGAGGCCGAATTTAAAGAACTTGAGCCGCGGCTCAAATATGGTTGGTTCCACTTAAAATTGCATTCAATGTTTCAAGATTTTGGCGGATTTGAGACGCGGCTCAAATTCATTAAATTTGGTCTTTATAAACCAAAGTTAAGAACACTTCCAAGGTTCTCCTAAGTTCCTCGATCAAAGTTTTCAGAAAAATTGGTCCTGGGGTTTATGACATCCAAACAAACAGACAGACAGACAAGTAGAGGTTACTTCTTTATTTAAAAACTAGCTTGGAAACCCAGCTTTGTCTAGAACTCAAGTTTTTTCAACTTAAAAGTTTTAAACCAGGCTAAGAACACTCTCGTGATCAAAATTATAGGCAAATTCGGACAAGAAATTCAAGAGTTATGATCACAAATCCAAAGAAACAAACACAAACACACAGATTACTGTTAAGAAAAGACGGATTTTCATGAGGAAACGAAATCAAAGTTTTTTAAAGTTTACAAATCGGCAAAATACATAGATAATTTATCATTTGCTCTTCAACCGTTTTAAGTCCTTTTATCTATTTTTTTAGCCATGAAATTTTTTTATATCGTA